GAATGCCCTTGGAATTTTCCTTTGAAGTTCACAGGAGTTGTGCTCCTCAGAAATTCCTAAGAGTTTTCAATAAAATTTATTTTTAATTCAATTCAGGGTCACTTTTTAGTCACTAATTTTAAAACTAACAGTCACTATTTAGTCACTTATTTCTTCAACATGGTCACTAAAATCACTATTTTTGACAGCAGTGATGGCTACCAGCCCTGTTGTTTAGAAGACCAAGGACGTTCGGAAGATGGTTAATATTATTCAGAATTCACTACTAATGCCTTTAAGTGTCGCTAGTGTGTATGAATTTTTGATCCCGACCACCTAGAAAGTTCGAGGCTTTAGCAAAGTTATTCAGAAGGCCATGGCTGAGCGCATAGTGCTTAGCAGCGTTGCCAGATATACCGATTTCTTGGTATTCATACCGATTTCCGAACTAGATACCGATCTACAGATAAGGTTCCTCAGAATACCGATGTTTGAGGTTTTATACTGATTTATACCGATTTTTTTTTTTCAATAATCAAAATGATTTTTGTCTGCCCGCGCTTAGAATTTCGGAGAAAATTATTGTGAGGGACTTGTATATTTTTGAATATCTCAATTTTTGTGAGCCTTTAAAATTCTAAAAAATAAATGTCTTATGGATACTCTGTCGATTAATGTTTCAACTTCCTCACCGTTTTTGGCTACCCATGAATCGATAAACAGTCGATGGCTCTTTCTGGTAATTGCAGGAGAATCGGGAAATACTTTTTAAACATTATTTAAGTACCTGGATTTTCTTCCAACTTACATCGTTAATTATTTTGCGATTCCTCTCAGAAACTTATTTTGACTTCCCTTCTTCAGCCTTCGTTCGAATGATTCTTCCATCTTCTCCCGCCAGTTTTTTTTTCAACTTTCCCGGAACTTCAGGGATACTTCCAGATTTTGAATGCGGATCCATACTACCTGCAGGAAGTTTTAAGAAGTTCTGAAACATCAGAAAAGTCCAGACTTTTGAGTAATTTTCGATTAATTAAAGAATGTTTCAATAACTTCTGTTAAAATTCTAAAACCCGTAAATTTCAGGAAAGTCCAGTGAACTACAGTGAACTTAAGGAAACATCACAAATATCCAAAGAACTTCTGGAAAATTGAATGGTTTTCAGGACAGTTTAGTTTCAGGAGAATTGCGAGAACTTTAGGAAGCTCCGAGAACATCAGAATAAATTTCAAGGAGATCGCTGAAATTTTAAAGGAGTTCCGAGAAACTCAGGCAATTTCCGAAAATTTCAGCAATGTTCCGAGGGGCTCATGTAAATTTAGGAAACGTAAGAGAAGTTACGTGAACATTAGCACACTGTGGGAACATTTTATGGGAAGTTCCGTGCTTATTAATGGCAGTGTCGATAATTTTTTTAAATAATAAAAATCAAGAAGAACAGAAAACTTCAATGCTGATGTTACAATAAATTCAAGAAAATTGTGAGTGTACCTAAGAAATTTCGTAATCTTCAAGAAAGTCTCGAGACCTTCAAAGTTGATTGGAGATATTCCGGTAGTTTCAATATATTCAGGAAAGTTCAAAGTATTTCAAAGATGATCAGAGTACTCCAAAACAGCCCTGTTGACTTAAGGAAGATTTCATGAACTTTTAAGGAATTCCAAGAATTATGGAATATTCCTTCCAATGTTCCAAACACATCAGGGGCGTTGCGGGGTCTTCAGGGATGTTTTATGACCATTTGGAAAATTTTCTGGATCATTAGAACATCCCAAGAGCTCTTTCTTCCGGAATTATGTCCTTGTTTCTTTCGATTGTTCCGTTAGCGCTCTAGCTTACGACTTCTTCCAGATTGTTTTCCAATCTACCTTAGAAAGTTTCTGCCAGCGTCTCCAGGAAGTTTCTTCCGTCTTCTCCAAAAAGTTTAATTAAACTTCTCCCAGAAATTTCTTTCGTCTAGTTCTGGAATTTTGTCCAGTTTTTTTTTTTTACTTCTATTGGAAGGTTTTTCCGAGCTTCTTCTGGCTTCCCTTGGAAATGGCTACTTTTGGAATTTACTTCAATTTCTGAAACTTTTCTGTCTTCCTTTGAATGTGAAATCCGATTTTTTTTTTCTGGAAGTTCCGCGGATGTTTTTCCGACTTCTCTCAGATCTTTCCTCAAATTTCCTCCAGAAGAGCTTCTTTCTTCTTCCTCTGGATGTTGTTTTCAGCTTCCTGCAGAAGCTAATTCAAACATTCCCCTGTGTTTTCTTCCGGAATTTTACGATCATAGTCCAAAAGTTAATATTTTCACTTTCAAAAACGGCAAAAATATGAAATTTATTAAAATAGTAAATACCGATAAATACCGATTTTTTTTTAAAAACTTTGATATCGATAAGCTTTAAAACATTCTGACAACGCTGGTGCTTAGTTCGTTTCGAAATTATTTCACTGCGCGTGCATGCGAAAATGTGAAATACAATGGAGTCGCTTTTTACGCGGATTTCGGAATTTAAAGGGTGATACGGTCAAACTTTGGTCAAGGGAAAACGCGTGTAAATCGGTGAAATCGTTTATTTAAAAAATCAAATTAAATTTCTTTTTCAAGTTCAATTAGTATAAAATTCAGGAAAAATATTCAGTTAGGCTTCCGCTTTTCCAAATCCGAATTGCCGGGCCTTACGCTTGACCCCTGCCATCAGATTTTGTACAGCCACCTTGTCCACCTTCTTCGCCGCAGAAAGCCAGTTTGCCTTGAACTGCTGCTCGCCCTTAGCAGTTTTTTTGGTCTTCTTTAGGTTCCGCTTGACAATAGCCCAGTATTTCTCAATTGGGCGGAGCTCTGGCGTGTTGGGAGGGTTCTTGTCCTTGGGAACCACCTGCACGTTGTTGGCGGCGTACCACTCCATGGCCTTTTTACCGTAATGGCAAGATGCCAAATCCGGCCAAAACAGTACGGAACAACCGTGTTTCTTCAGGAAAGGCAGCAGACGTTTATTCAAACACTCTTTCACGTAAATTTCTTGGTTGACAGTCCCGGAAGCTATGAAAATGCTGCTTTTCAAGCCACAGGTACAGATGGCTTGCCAAACCAGATATTTCTTTGCGAACTTTGACAGTTTCATGTGCTTGAAAACATCTGCTACCTTTCCCCTTTCTTTTGCCGTATAAAACTCCTGTCCCGGAAGCTGCTTGTAGTCTGCTTTGACGTAGGTTTCGTCGTCCATTACCACGCAGTCAAACTTCGTCAGCATCGTCGTGTACAGCCTCCGGGATCGCGCTTTGGCCGTCGTATTTTGTTTATCATCGCGATTTGGAGTCACTACCTTCTTGCAAGTCGATAGTCCGGCTCGTTTTTTGGCTCGATGCACGGTTGTAGACGATACACCCAGCTTATTTGCGGCATCTCGGAGAGAGAGGTTAGGGTTTCGCTTGAAACTACCGGCAACTCTCTTTGTCGTCTCAGCGGCTTCCTGTTTTCGATTTCCCCCCGTTCCAGACTTCCTGGCTGTCGACAAACGTTCCCCAAACACTTTAATTACATTTGTAACGGTTGATTTGGCAACTTTTAGCGATTTTGCCAACTTTGCGTGCGAGTAGCTCGGATTTTCGCGATGCGCGAGCAAAATTTTGATACGCTGCTCTTCTTGCTTGGACGGCATTTTGACAACTGAAGAGTGAATTCCAAAATCAAAATAGGAGCAACATTCTACACACACACACCTTCAAAATGAGGGGTGTTCAGGTTTTTTAAATGCAAAATTGAAAGAAATACGTCAAGTTGATATTGACCAAATTTTGACCGTATCACCCTTTACACGGTTTTTTTCACGCGGATTTTGGTTTTTTTTACGTGGATTTCAGAATCTACGCGGTCTATCGTTATACACTAGAGTCGCTTTTTACAAGGTTTTTTTACGCGGTTTTTTTCCGCGGATTCCGGAATTTACGCGGTTTTTTTTACGCGGATTCCGGAATTTACGCGTTTTTTTTACGCGGGACGTATCACCTGCGTAAAAAGCGACTCTAGTGTATATCGGATCTGAACTTTGAAATTGCTTGAATATGAAATTAATCAGTCTCTCATATTTTGGAATCACTTGAAAATAAAATGAATCAGACCTGAAAATGTTGGAATTTCTTGAATATGAAGTAAATCAGGGCTGAAAAGTTTTGAATCACTTGCATATGAAGTAAATCAGACATGGAAAACTTTTAAATCACCTGAACCAGACCTGAACAGTTTTGATCCACTTGAATGAAATAAACCATGACAATACCATCTAATAATGTCTCTTAAAATTCATCTGAAATCGATAACTTTTGACAGTCACATAAAACTCATTGCATTACCTGTTCAAAGTACTCCTAAAAACAAGATATAAAATGAAGAAAACAAGGAACTCAACGGTCTAAAACGGGCACCACGGTGTGCACAATAAATTAGTATGAACATAAAACTCCAAAAGCCGAACAAGGAGTGGAATACACTGGAGTAGCTTTTTAAGCGGTTTTATTTCGCACGGTTTTTATTTACGTGGATTCCAGAATTTACGCGGTTATTTTTACGTGGATTTCGGATTTTTTTTTACGCGGATTTCAGAATTTACGTGGTTTATCGTTATACACTAGAGTCGCTTTTTACGCAGTTTTCTTTTTACACGGGCTTTTTTTTACGTGGATTTCGAAATTTACGCGGTTTTTTTTTTACACGGGGCGTATCACCCGCGTAAAGAGCGACTCCAGTGTATATTGTTTTACGGGTCTGTCTATACTCACCAAAATCGAATGTTAAAGATCTGAATAAAGGTTATCGGTGTCTAAGTATAGCAATTGCTTCAAACTAAGGATGAATTGATATCATTGCTTCCGTCCAAGACCTAGACTGACATGGGCATTGGAGAGTCAACGTAATAGAATTTAGGGCGACTCGAAGAAAGGTGGCCAAATTGAGAGTACGCAGAGTTCTTGGTATTTTGATCATAATCTCACTCAAAATAATCTAATCATAAATTTTCCATTCTCTCCCCTTACAGGTGGCTGGCGTATCAGCGACCACGGAGCGATTAACAGCTCCCCCGGCGCCTCCCCAGGGCCACTCGCCCCTCCAGCTCTTAGATGAGCCTCATATGTCCATTGCTGCGGCTGAAAATGCAGGGTAAGTGTTACGGAATTACACAACTATCATATGTTACCACTCCCCCCCCCCCCTCCCACACAACTAGTGGGTGGCAAAACCGGAAAGGGCGATCTGGCGCGTGTACCTACACAAACATGACCAGGCGCGTGTCATCCGCTATATAATGGAATTAGAGTAACAGGGTTCTCGTCGTTCTCAACATGGGGAATGCAAATCACACGGCCATAATTGAAATATTATTGCACTTCAGTTTTAATCAACAGTCAGTCTCAGAACCTACCGGTCGGTGCTCAGTGATTGTTAGATTTATTGGATGCGCTTCGAAATATGTAGTTCATATGGCGTTTTGTGGTCTACCATTTGCAAATATGTGCAGTGTGATAATGGTCATCGTCATCAATTGAGCGTACAGGGATCGAAATGGGCTGCTGCAGCAGTAGAATGTGCGTTATTGCAAATTTATGATGCAAATCGAATTGAAGTATGCATTGATTATTAGCACTCATGAATGACGCTCGTCTCGGTCTCTGGGGCGCATGGTGAGCAGGTCAGTTCACCCACAACGGAAGGATTCATCGAACGACCTTCGGTTGCTGCAGCTAAACTTGGCATGGAACGATTTAATTCAGTGATCCACCTACACCGTTGCACCTTCCGTTTGTCTGTCTGGAGTTGGCAACGAAACAAAGGCCCGGATTGTTTTAGTGTACCAGCTGACTTCGACGACGATGACGACGACCGACTCATGTCTGGACGGCTCCGAGACAGCTAGGACCATTGTTTGTTCGTTCTGGACGCCGTCCCCGCCTGAATTTCTATCGTGTCTAAAATGGTGCTGTTTGGTGGCAGTACATGAATCGATGACATTTACGACGACGATGACGATGTGTTCATTTCACAGTTCGAGTTTCTCCATTTGCACCGGTCAACGAAGCAAAAGGGCATCTATCATTCACACTTGGATTTGCTTGGGCGGGAACGCGTGTCAAAGTCCATGCTATATGTGCACATTGACATCATCATCATCATTGTCATCGTCGTCGTCGTCCGTCACCGTCTCCGGTGGTGGTGGATGAGTGTCGCCAAAAAGTTCGGAGCCGGTAACATGAATGGTGCAAGTCAGAGCGTAGGGCAGGGCACGGATGATGATGCTCAACCGGTCGCGGTCGGTTCGATGGAACTGGAGACACATCCAAAACCGGGAAAACAAACTCACTGCTGTAGGGAGAGGAGATGGAGAGAATGATAATTGAGTTGAGGCAGGTCATCGTCAAAATAAATTGATTTGTTGGCATTTATTGTTAGCAGATACATGCGGGGTCGGTTTCGTGCGATACCACAGAGTGTAGAGTGATTCCATATATCGCGCGGGGGGAGGGGGGGGGGGGGTTTGGTTCGAGAGGCAGCCGAGAGGGGAAGACCATTTTTATTCCTTTCATGCGAGGAAAATGGAATGAAATATGAAAAAAAAAAATGGTTTCTTTTGTACTGAAAGGAATCGTTCATCAGTGGCAAAAGGTTAATTTTAGAGTCTGCGAATGAGATGCAGTTGAGATGGCGGTTTGTCTGGAACAGTAGCAACATTTCAATAGGTTTTCTTCAATTAGCCTCGCTAGGCTTGTCGTTGGAATACAGATATCATTTGGGAATATTTTCTGTGTTGCATAAGTGGGAGTAAATGGGGATGGGGTTTTTAGATCGAGGTCCTTGGAGCACTAAGTGCTCCGATAAACCTTTGCTACCCTCAATGGTTAAATTTATTATTCTATTACAATATACAGAATTTGCAATAATTCACCACATGAACAGATTCTGTAATGAAATGATTTTTGCCTGTAATTATGAATTATTTTGTTGGTCATTTATTCTAAAGTCTCAACGTTCGAAATTCTATGTACTTCGGTAGTACTGATATTCTTGATATTGATATTGATCTGGGATCTTGAAAATCATTTCAAGATCCGACATCTGCATCTTTGTTTCAGAATCTTGAAATTTTGTTCAAGCTTGGATTATCCTTTTTTATGGTCCAGGAATGGTTGACTTCCCAAATCGTTGTTGATACGAAAGAAGATTTCAATTTAAATTTTATTCATACCTAATTCTTTATGGATAATTTTAGCAAAGAATGCTAAGTTGCTATAGAAGTATCAAATTTTGCCTCAGTAGTAGACAATATAATCAATTATATAATTTTCTAATGATATAAGCCCTTTTCATATGAGATTCTCGATTAATCCAAGTGATTAGTTGCTGATTAGACAAAATTGAATCACAAATTAAGCTTGATTGGGCTCTGAGATGATTTTGAACTTCACTTGTTAAGTTTTGTGTGAAAATGACACGTTTAAAAAAAATCAGTTCAGACATGAAAAAATTTTTGTAAGAAAAACTTTTATCCTTAAAAGTGCCCATCTTGCGATGTATGGACGGATGGTAGTAAACATAATTACCTATCTTGAGGCAAAGTTTCATCCAAATCAAACTTGGCCGACTTTAAATTTTAATCGACTTTAAACTTTAATCGACTTTAAATTTTAAAAATCGATTTGTTCAGTGTAGGTCTCAAATGGAATTTTTTCAGTTTTTTTTTGAAAATTTGGTCAATTTCCTAAAAGTCATCCGTACAACACATTTTTGTAGGAGTTGTCATTTTTCCATAATATTTTTTTTTTGAAAAAAATTCGCGGAAAAAGTTTGGCCCTTCTCAAATGTTAGTCTAGATACATTTTGGAAAAACTGAGTATACAAAAGTTCTTATTTAGTCAAAGTCTACACATCCAGAAAATTTCATTGAAATCTGAGAGGGTGTTTCCCTTCCATCTTCAACCCGTCTACAAGTCCCAAGAGAGCAAAGAATTCAACCCCAAGAGCGAAAATTTTCTCTCACAAGCTTAATCTCTCAACATGTCATGTATATTAATGCCACACAATATGTGATTTCTCTTTCACAGACTTCAAAATACAGTACCTAGCCCTGAAAAAATGTTCGAACACTTATGTATGCAATTAGATTTCCCATCCAGGGGTTGAGCTTGGCAAGCATCTTTGTCGTCGAACAAAGAGAAAGAGAAAGGAGATAGAAGCTTTTCTGGAGGAAGTTTGTTGAAAGTTCTACCAACAATCAATACGAAACTAACGATTTTAAATTGACTCACTACTTGACTAGCCTATTGGTCCCAAGCAAATCGATTAACGTATCCCATTCTAGTCGAAATGCTAGTACTACACAATGTTTGTTTTGATTCGCTATGAAAGTTTGACAGATAAAATTAGGGGTTAGTGGATTTTCCTGTGTTTCGAGGGGTGAATCGATTAGCTTGGGACCGTAGATAGTACCAGAGCTGAGCCAAAAAGTAGAGCTCGTTTCTTCGGGACCTTCTGGTCTTAGAGTTACCTCTATGGTTCTACTGTGTTACCTGACTTATAACAAATATATGTTGTATACGAGTACCCCGAGTACAAAGTATAGTTCGTCTTATTTTACATGCTATGCAAAATTAGACGAGTCATACGTTGTGTAAGGGGTACTCGTATACAACGTATATTCGTTATAAGTCAGGTAACACAGTAGGAAAAGTCGAAAAAACTTCGAGGAACTTTCAAGTAAAATATAGAGTAACTTTTGGGGTAAATTTAAAGAAACTTCCGAGGAAAATCGGATGACACATCCAGAAGGAGGAGGGGCGACTCCGGCGGAGTGGTTAGCATTCATACCTCTCACGCCAAAGTCACGAGTTCAAATCTCACCCCGGATAAGTCACGAATGACCCAAGAGCGTTTAAGTGACTATAATAATAATAATAAAAAAAAAACATCCAGAGGAAGCCAGACCGGTTTCGAAAATCGGAAGAAAATTCCAGGAATAGCATTATAAGTTGACAAAAAAAACCTCCGGAAGAATCTCATGGAGAAACCTAGAAAGGAAGACGAAAGAAATTTCTGGAATAGTTCGATAGATACTTTCGGTAAAAGTTTAAAGGAGCTTCCTGGAGAATATGGAAGAAACTTCTTGAGGTATTTTGGAAAAAAAACTTCCTGAGATTATTTGGAAGAAACTTCTTAAAAAAGTCTGAAGCTTCTTCTGGTGTAGCCAGAGGTTTTCGGGACATTGGAAAGAAACTTCTAGGAGAAGTTGAGAAAAATACTCCGGAAGAAAGATTGCTGGGAGATGTCAAAATAAATTTCCGGTGGAAATCGGTAAAATCTTCTAGGGAAAGGTAGAATAATATTCTGGAGGAAGCTGGAAAAAAAAACTGGCGGGGGAAGATGAAAGAACCTTGCAAGCGAAGCAAGAAGAAGCTTCCTGCGAGGGAAGTCGAAAGTACTTTCCGGGAGGAATCGCAAAATAAGGCAGAAGAACATAACAGGGAACAGTTAGAAGATACCAAAGCAGCACACTACCATCACAATAAGTTGCCGCAACTTGATTGTAACTGGAATAAGTTACATATAAATAACCACAACTGTTCGGATGGCAAGCTTTGGTACTTCCAAGGGAAGATCATAAAGTTAAAAAAATAACATTCTGATGGACCTTTTTGGTAACATTAAAGATAAAAATATTTTTCGATTCCCAGGAATGACCGGGATGAGCTGGCAGCTGTTTCTTGATTCCTGGCTAGAAAAAACCAAAGAGGAAATGGAAACACTAGTCGAAAGAGTATAAAGCATCTATGAAATTTAAAGTATCAGAGACTTTGGAAAAACATTGGAGATCGTGATCGAGATTCTAGTGTGTACCTAAAATTATAAAATGATCCAAGATTCTTGATAGCATTCTACCTGTGAAGACATGTAAAGACATTTATTCGATCTCGTTGTCACACCTGGCACTTCTGCCCTGAGTACTCAACTTTGATTTGCCTCCTGATTGATTTTGGTAAGAATTAAAGATAAGGATCATTTCCCAAGGACACCAGAAACATGTTCTGATTCGGCCGATGGGTTATGGGTACTCAATATACTTACCTTACCAATCAGACTAAGCCATTGTTGTCCTCTGCTGTCCGAAGAAG